GCGCCTTCGCCTCCCGAGCCCTGCGGGGGGCGGGGACGAGCAGGCCCACGCTCCGAAGGCCGGGGGAAACTGGCTTCCCCAAAGACCACCCCGAGGGGACGGAGGACCGGGACCCACACGCGCCGTCTCCCCCTCCCGGGGACGTGGGATTCATTCCCGGCGCTCAGGCCGCCAAGGGCAAGGCCGGGCGCCCCGAGCCGAGCCCGGGCCCGGGCTCTGCGGAGTTGGGTTTGGGCCGGGGCGGGCGGGGGGACAGGGGGGAGGATCTGAGGGGTTGTTGTTGGGGCCACGGAGTCGCCCCGGGCAGATCAACCAACCCCGGGGCTCCGCGGGCTGCGCTGGCCGCTGGCCAGGGACGCTGCGGAGGCCGCGGGGCGGACGAACAGGCTCTCCTCGCTCTCCTCCCCCATCCCCGTCGTCGTCTGTCTGTCTGTCCGTCGGCGCCTGGGTCGCTGCCGCCCAGAGTTGAGGTCCTCGGTTACCTGCGCCCAAAGGCTTCAGGGCCAGGAGGGCCTAGGCCTGCAGCGGGGGAGGGGGGCGGGGAGCCCCTCTTTCGGGGGGAGGGAGGATGGAAGAGAAGGGACACCTGCAATTATGGAGTGAGAGCGTCCAGCCAAGCTCTCACACACACACACACACACCCCTCCAAAGGCATCTGGTGCCCCTGTCTCTAGGAAAGATAAAGATCTTAACATGTCACTGGGAGAGACCTGACACCCTTGTGGCCCAACCAACTGGTGATGGCTTGGATGGAGATGGGGATGTGGAAGTCTCAGGAAGATACTCACTTGTGCCCCATCATAGCAGGAGCAGAGCCCACCCTACCGCACCCCACCCAGTGCTGAGAAAAAACAGCCAAGATCGCAGGAGCCCTTACTGCTGGCACACTGTTGGCTGGGATTTCACACACACACACACACACACACACACACACTCACTCACTACGGTGGGGACTGTGGAAATATTGAGGGGGGACCCCTGATGATCCCCTGCCAGGATCTCAGCCCTGACCCTTCTCCACCAGGACAGACCTGCATCTCTGGTCATCTTAGCCCCTGCATTCCTCAGCACCACAGCAGAGCCCAGAGCTGAGCCCAAGGACTGCCAGGAAGGGCTGTGCATGGAGGGTTAGGGCTAGGGGTTAGGGGTTAGAGGTTAGGGTTAGGATTGCTGTTTGTTCACATCTAGCTATTCTATGGACTTCCAGCCTTCTGAACATGAAGGCAGACCGGCCTGAGACTGAATATCAGCTTAAGATGGCTGTGTGACTTCACTTATTAAGGAAAACTTCTCTGGATCTTCTTTTTTGTAGTCTACATAATTAAGATATTAATACCAAGCTTCCTGAGGTTTGGGAGAATGCAAAATGAAATAATGTGTATGAAAAGATCCTCTAAATACACTTCAGTGAGATCTAGATAAATCTTCATTAAATTTGGATTGCATCCATCTGGGCAGGGTTATTGAGGTCACCGCACGTTGAAGCTAGCAGGAATCTTAAAGCATGTACAACCCGTCCTTGCCATTTTCCAGATTGCAGAAACAGTGAAGGGAAGGGATTTAGTCAGTATCGCACAGATCCAGCAGAATAAGACCCAGAAATCACACTGTCTAGGAAATCCTGAAAACAAGACCCTCCGTTGATTCCCAATCATCTGGTCCTTGGTTCAGTATGAAATCACGCTAGCCATGGATCATGGGTCAAAGAAGGTAAAATTCAGTCAGTGAACTACACACATGTCCCGAACCATGCCCTAAGAACACAACCAGTCACTGGAGCTCAGGCGTGCTCCTAAGAGTAACCCTTCTACCCAGATGCAGTGGCTCACACCTGTAATCCCAGCTACTCAGGAGTCTGAGATCTGAGGATCACGGTTCCCAGCCTGGAAAGAAAAAGCCATGAGAATCTTATCTCCAGTTAACCAGCAAAAAAGCCCGAAGTGGACACGGGTAGCTCATGCTTGTAATCCTAGCTACTCCAGAAGCTGAGAACTGACAATCACAGGTTCGAAGCCAGCCCAGTCAGAAAGGTCTGTGAGACTCTTATCTCCAGTTAACCAGCAAAAAGTTGGAAGCAGAGCTGTGGCTCAAGTGGTAGAATGCCAGCCTTGAAAAAGCTCCAGCCCTGAGTTTAATCCTCAGGACTGGAAGAGTGAGGGGTGGGGGGGAAGAGTAGTAGTAGCTCTAGCAGGAGACAAGAGAGCAGAACATTTTTAGTAAACAGTCCAAGCTTTTTTCCATGTTTTTCTATCTATGTCACATAGCTACAGAGTTCGTTTGGCTCACATGGAAACAATTCATTCTTTTCTCAAAATAACTTTTAGTAAAGTTGGTGAGAGCAGTAGGAACTCCAAGTTTCTCTTTGACTCGGTGTCCTATGGCAAAACCACATAGCCCAGTGCATCCAGGTTTGGACCCACAAGTAGCTTTGGCCTCAAACCTGCTGGACATGAGGCAAAGGGTCCAGCTCATAGGCCTCAAAGAAACTCTTGTGCTAATGACCAGTGGCTCTCGCCTGTCACCTCAGGAGGCTGAGATCTGAGGTTCATGGTTCAAAGCTAGCCTGGACAGGAAAAGTCCGTGAGACTCTTACCTCCAATGAACCAGCAAAAATCCAGAAGTGGAGCTGTGGCTCAAGTGGTAGAGCACCAGCCTTGAAGAAAAAAGCCAAGTGAGATCATGACACCCTGAGTTTAAGCCCCAATCTTGACACACACACACAAAAGTTGTTTATTTGCTAGCAACAGCTGGCTTCTGGGCTGGGGGGAGGGGATTGCTTGGGTTTAATAAGGCATGATTTTTACCCAGGTCCAAACAGGTAAAATGTAAAAACTCTGTGTGTGTGTGTGTGTGTGTTTGTGTGTGTGTGTGTGTGTGTGTGTGTTTGTGTGTGTGTGTGTGTGTACACGTGCGTGCGTGCGTGCGTGCGCTGGTCCTGGGGCCGCCCTTAGCTTTTTCACTCAAGTCTCTACCACTTGAGCCACGACTCCACTTTCAGCTTTTTGCTGGTTAATTGCAAATAGGATTCTCACAGAGTTCCCGGCCTGGGCTGGCTTTGATCTGGGATTCTCAGATCTCAGCCTCCTGAGTAACTAGGATTACAGCAAGTGTGAACACCTGGCTTTTTTTTTTTTTTTTTGCCAGTCCTGAGGCTTGAACTCCGGGCCTACCCCTGAGCTCCCTTTACTCAAGGCTAGCACTCTACCACTTTGAGCCATGGCACCATTTTTGGCTTTTTCTATGATTAATTGGAGATAAGAGTCTCATGGACTTTCCTGTCCTGGCTGGCTTCGAACCATGATCCTCAGCTCTCAGCCTCCAGAGTAGCCAGGATGATGGGCGTGAGCCACCAGCACCCAGGCACCTTGGCCTTTTAAACACATATTCTACCCTTTAGTCCTTGAAAGATCAAGAGGCTTAGAGACTGGGAGCCCTCAGGGAGCAAGGACATAGTAGATGCACAGTTAATGCTCGTGGTGGTAGACTTGTTAATTCCATGTTCCATGTCCTGAGTCCTCGGTGAAGCCTTCATCCTGGTAAGATGCTTTAGTGCCCAGTAGAGAGGACGTTTCAAAAACCCCAGCTCCAGCCCCAGCCCTCCTCCTGGCAGCCAGCATCAGATTGGCTTGCTGGTATCCACAGCACACAGCCAGGCCCTCTGCCCTCTGGCAGCTCCCAGGGACCCTGCTGGCTCAGTCTGGACCTCTACACCACCCAGCCACACACGCATATACACACACACACACACACACACACACACACACACACACACACACCGAGGCAGTAGGTGGATTTAGAGTCTGGGCTCAGCTTCCTAGAAACTAATGTCCATTCTCTACTGCTGGCCTCGACTTTTCCAAGGTCTCTCAAATAAAGCCAGACACCAGTGGCTCATACTTATAATCCTAGCTACTCAGAAGGCTGAGATCTGAGGATGGAGGTTCAAAGCCAGCCCAGGCAGGAAAGGCTGTAAGACTCTTATCTCCAATGAACCACCAGAAAATGGAAATGGCACTGTGGCTCAAAGTAGTAGAGCACTAGCCTTGAACAAAAGAGACCAGAGACAGCGCCCAGGTCCTGAGTTAGAACTCTACAACCACCACCACCAAAAAAAAAAAAAGCTTCCAGCTCCAACTTCTCAGTAATGGACCAGGCCGGAGAGACATTTCCTTTACCTCACTTAGGTAGGGGGCCCCAGGCACCACTGCAGCCAGCCCCTCAGCGTCTGGTGTGGATAGAAACTGAGGCCTCTGGTTGTGTGCCGGTGGCTCACGGCTGTAATCCTAGCTACTCAGGAGGCTGAGATCTGAGGATCACGGTTCAAAGCCAGTCCGGGCAGGAAAGTCCATGAAACTCTTATCTCCAATAAACCACTAGAAAACCGGAAGTGGCGCTGTAGCTCAAGTGGTAGAGCGCTAGCCTTGAGCTGTAGAGCTGAGGGACAGAGCTCAGGCCCAGAGTTCAAGCCCCACGACACACACACACACACACACACACACACACAGAAACTGAGGCCTCTGGTCACCTTCTGCCCACCAGGTCAGTGGCCTTTCCTTCTTCTGGCCTTCCTTTACAATTGTTCCTGGTGAGCCTAACAGATTCCAGTCCCCAGGCTGGATGGGCAGGAGGGGTGTGCCCCACTCCCTGGGGATGCCCACAGTGGGGTGGGTTAAGATGCTCTGCCCGCCCCTTGCTTGTTGACAGTGCG